TTTCAACATTAAACAACTAACGTGCAACGCACGTTAACCACACTAGTAATGTTAAAAGTAAAATAAAAAACAATTCTACTACCAACTTATATAAATTTGATTGAGATCAAGGACACTAAGTCAATACGTAAGAGCATCTCCAACACATTCTCATTGCACCAAATTTTTGGTGCAAATCTCCTCCGAGTCATTGTACCATTTTGCACCAAAATGGTTAAATACCTTTTTACCCTTCTCTTCCACTTTGCACCAATTTTTGTTAAGGGTCTATTTGTCCATTTTGTTATACAATAAAATTTAATTCTAAATTTATTTAGCAGCAGCAACAAATTTTAATCGTTTAATCAAAAATAATTAATTGTGATTACTATTTCGACTTTGTAATATCATGGTATTGTGATTCGAAACGTATTACACTCTTTTTTCATATTATAATTTAATATTTTCTTAATTGTTGTATTTCTATTAATTGTACTACATTTTTTAAATTTATTAATGAATTCAATATTTTTGTTAACTAAAAGTAATTATTTATTTAATATTTTTGTAGTAATAAATAAATGAATTCAATATTTTTGTTAACTAAACGTGATTATTTATTTAATAATTTATGTAATAATAAAATAAATATTATTAAAAACTCTATTTATTATTGTTAAGAATTGAAAAAATAAAGAAAATTATTAAATACTATTCATTTGGTGCAACTTTTGGTGTAATGGATTGGAGATGATTTTCGGGTGCAAGACTTTGTGTAAAATTGTGCAGAATTTGGTGCAAAATGATTTACATTTTGGTGTAGGGTTGGAGATGGTCTTCGAAAGATTATTTTAGGCACTCAAGACTTGAGAAATCATTTAAATGTTTAATTCAACTAAAGCAAAAACAAACAAACATTTCATTACGTAAAAATTATGTCCTGAAACAACCAAGATTTATTGAGATTATCTTAACAGTGATTCAAGAAGAAACTAAGAGTTTTTGGTAAATCTAAAGACGTAAAAAATAAAATAAATAAAATCGCCACAATTTGAATTGAACTTTGCTTCCTCCCCACAATTTGAGTCAAATTGCCTGTAGCAATTCTAAAAAAACACCTTTGAAAAATAAACTAATCAAAGTATATAAGCACCAAGATATGTTGTTGGAGAAAAACATACTTCAATGGCTATGATCAACGTTAATATTCTGAAGCCCATTTCTGTTGGCATGGCCAAAAATGAGCTTCCGAAAATCGCATTTTCTCTAGGTGCAAATACTGCGAGCTTTTCTGCTAAACCTGTACAAAATAGTATTATTGCCAAGCCTTGCGATCAGACTGTGATTAGGCGGTCTGGAAACTACAGACCTCCCATGTGGGAGTTCGATTACATTCAGACGTTAAATAGTGAATACGCGGTAATTATCATCATCTGTATAAACTTTAATTTTCCTTCTTTTTTTTCCTGTGAAGGTCTGATGAAAAGTGATGTGGATAATGTAGGGAGATAGTTACGTTGCAAGGGCTTTGGAGCTGAAGATGCAAGTGAAGATGATGCTTGATGAAGCAGTAGAGCCACTTGAACAATTGGAATTAATTGATAACTTACAAAGGCTGGGAATATCTTACCATTTTGAGGATGAAATTAAGCAAATGTTGACAATCATTAACAAAAAATATAGCAAAAATCATGAGCCAGAGATTAAGGATCTATATGCTACAGCTTTGGAATTCAGATTACTAAGACAACATGGCTTTACTGTTTCTCAAGGTGCAAGAAAAATAACATAGAATCCTTCATTTCTTCTGTTGATTTTTATTTCTTACGTTGGACAATTTGCAGTCTAATCATACGATAGTGGAAATTCGACTGCGGATCAGCCATCTAATATTTTTCCAGCGACTATGGAGAATTCCATATATAGGCCGTCGTTGTATTCCTACTAACTTGATCTAATTTTAATTGAGGAAATTCTTATTCATTATACTGAAACCTGATGGGGAAAATATAATATTTTTACTTGTTTGTTTGATTGCAGAGGTGTTTAATTGTTTCAAGAATGACAAGGGTGATTTCAACCCAATCCTTCGCAATGATACAAAGGGATTGCTACAATTGTATGAAGCTTCATTCCTGTCAACAGAAGGTGAAACTACCCTGGACATTGCACGAGAATTCACCATGAAACATCTTAAAGATCAGCCAAGTGTTGATCGAGATTCCGCTCTATTGGTGCACCACGCCTTGGAGCTCCCGCTGCATTGGACCATACCTCGAGCAGAGGCGTGGTGGTTCATAAACGTATATGGGGAAAGATCAGACATGAATCCAATTCTTCTTGAGTTTTCTAATCTGAATTTCAACATTGTTCAAACAACATATCAGCAGGAGTTAAAAAATGTCTCCAGGTATATACGAAAGACTAAATACATAGTATTTTGAACTCCAAAGGTTACAATTCTCTGGGTTTTTTTCTTGTCTATAAACAGGTGGTGGAAAAGAACAGGTCTAGCTGAAAAGTTGCCATTTGTGAGGGATAGGCTGGTGGAATGTTTCTTTTGGAATATCGGAATACTATTTGAACCTCAATATGGATTGTTTCGAACTGTGTCAACAAAGGTCTTTGTTTTAATAACAATCATAGACGATGTATATGATGTGTACGGAACGTTAGAAGAATTGGAGCTTTTTACGGACGCAGTTGAGAGGTTAGTATAGTCTTTATTTACACAACAATTAGCATGATAAACAAAGCATTATAACTCATAATCATTCGTTTGTGCATTTCGAAACTTATATTGTAATTATTTTTGGGTTAAAAATTTGCAGATGGGATGTCAATGCAATCGAGCAGCTTCCAGAATACATGCAAATTTGTTACCTAGCACTCTACAACTTCGTCAATGAACAGGCTTACGACATTCTCAAAGAAAAAGGGCTCGTGATAATTCCATATTTAAGAAAAGCGGTATCGCTTATTTGCTTTATAGATATCCATTCTTAGATCATTTATGTGTTATCTTATGTCATGGTGCATTCTTAGCTTAGTATTTGAACTTTCAATTTTCCTAATTATCTTTTAATTTTTATTATTATCTGGAGTTTAGTTGCTATTAAGATTTTAGTTATTACTTTAAATATGGGTTGTAAGCCATAATGACAATTAGTTGATTTTGAATTGAAATTTGAATTGTTGAGATTCTCTTCAATTTCTTAAATTCTCAGTATTTG